TCAGTCTATTTCTAGACGTGATTTATACTTCGCCCTCAACTTCATTTTTCGACAACTTTTAATGCAATAAACCACTGTAATGCACATAACTGACCTTTTAATACTGGATTACATTACTAATGATACCGTGGAGAGATATGCAGCATAGTTTAGATGTAGACGTCATTTAGACGTATTAATTTATACTTCATTTCAACGTCTAGATTCAGTCTATTTCTAGACGTGATTTAGACGTATAAATTTATACTTCATTTCAACGTCTAGATTCAGTCTATTTCTAGACGTGATTTAGACGTATAAATTTATACTTCATTTCAACGTCTAGATTCAGTCTATTTCTAGACGTGATTTATACTTCGCCCTCAACTTCATTTTTCGATAACTTTTAATGCAATAAACCACTGTAATGTACATAACTGACCTTTTAATACTGGATTACATTACTTATGATACCGTGGAGAGATATGCAGCATAGTATAGATGTAGACGTCATTTGCACGTATAGGTTTATACTTCATTTCAACGTCTAGATTCAGTCAATTTCTAAACGTGATTTATACTTCGCCCTCAACTTCATTTTTCGATAAGTTTTAATGCAATAAACCACTGTAATGTACATAACTGACCTTTTAATACTGGATTACATTACTTATGATACCGTGGAGAGATATGCAGCATAGTATAGATGTATACGTGATTTAGACGTATAAATTTATTCTTCATTTCAACGTCTAGATTCAGTCTATTTCTAGACGTCATTTACACGTATAAATTTATACTTCATTTCAACGTCTAGAGTCAGTCTAATTCCAGACGTGATTCAGACGTATAAATTTATACTTCATTTCAACGTCTCGATTCAGTCTATTTCTAGACGTGATTTATACTTCTCCCTCAACTTCATTTTTCGATAACTTTTAATGCAATAAACCACTGTAATGTACAAAACTGACCTTTTAATACTGGTTTAGATTACTTATGATACCGTGGAGAGATATGCAGCATAGTATAGATGTAGACGTCATTTACACGTATAGGTTTATACTTCATTTCAACGTCTAGATTCAGTCTATTTCTAGACGTGATTTATACTTCGCCCTCAACTTCATTTTTCGATAACTTTTAATGCAATAAACCACTGTAATGTGCATAACTGACCTTTTAATACTGGATTACATTACTTATGATACCGTGGAGAGATATTCAGCATAGTATAGATGTAGACGTCATTTACACGTATAGGTTTATACTTCATTTCAACGTCTAGATTCAGTCTATTTCTAGACGTGATTTATACTTCGCCCTCAACTTCATTTTTCGATAACTTTTAATGCAATAAACCACTGTAATGTACATAACTGACCTTTTAATCCTGGATTACATTACTTATGATACCGTGGAGAGATATGCAGCATAGTATAGATGTAGACGTCATTTACACGTATAGGTTTATACTTCATTTCAACGTCTAGAAACCACTGTAATGCACATAACCGACCTTTTAATACTGGATTACATTACTTATGATACCGTGGAGAGATATGCAGCATAGTATAGATGTATACGTCATTTACACGTATAAATTTATACTTCATTTCAACGTCTAGATTCAGTCTATTTCTAGACGTGATTTAGACGTATAAATTTATACTTCATTTCAACGTCTAGATTCAGTCTATTTCTAGACGTGATTTAGACGTATAAATTTATACTTCATTTCAACGTCTAGATTCAGTCTATTTCTAGACGTGATTTATACTTCGCCCTCAACTTCATTTTTCGATAACTTTTAATGCAATAAACCACTGTAATGTACATAACTGACCTTTTAATACTGGATTACATTACTTATGATACCGTGGAGAGATATGCATTATAGTATAGATGTAGACGTCATTTACACGTATAGGTTTATACTTCATTTCAACGTCTAGATTCAGTCTATTTCTAGACGTGATTTATACTTCGCCCTCAACTTCATTTTTCGATAACTTTTAATGCAATAAACCACTGTAATGTGCATAACTGACCTTTTAATACTGGATTACATTACTTATGATACCGTGGAGAGATATGCAGCATAGTATAGATGTATACGTGATTTAGACGTATAAATTTATACTTCATTTCAACGTCTAGATTCAGTCTATTTCTAGACGTGATTTAGACGTATAAATTTATACTTCATTTCAACGTCTAGATTCAGTCTATTTCTAGACGTGATTTAGACGTATAAATTTATACTTCAATTCTACGTCTAGATTCAGTCTAATTCCAGACGTGATTTAGACGTATAAATTTATACTTCATTTCAACGTCTAGATTCAGTCTATTTCTAGACGTGATTTAGACGTATAAATTTATACTTCATTTCAACGTCTAGATTCAGTCTATTTCTAGACGTGATTTATACTTCGCCCTCAACTTCATTTTTCGATAACTATTAATGCAATAAACCACTGTAATGTACATAACTGACCTTTTAATACTGGATTACATTACTTACGATACCGTGGAGAGATATGCAGCATAGTATAGATGTAGACGTCATTTACACGTATAAATTTATACTTCATTTCAACGTCTAGATTCAGTCTATTTCTAGACGTGATTTAGACGTATAAATTTATACTTCATTTCAACATCTAGATTCAGTCTATTTCTAGACGTGATTTATACTTCGCCCTCAACTTCATTTTTCGATAACTTTTAATGCAATAAACCACTGTAATGCACATAACCGACCTTTTAATACTGGATTACATTACTAATGATACCGTGGAGAGATATGCAGCATAGTATAGATGTAGACATCATTTAGACGTATAAATTTATACTTCATTTCAACGTATGGATTCGGTCTATTTTTAAACGTGATTTAGACGTATAAATTTATACGTCATTTCAACGTCTACATATAGACCGAATCTAGACAATAGATTTTAATCCACAATTCAAGAGTTGATCTTTTAAAATGATAACTGAAGGATGCAGAATTGATCTCAATCTGTGGGACTACTATCCCACTGAGCAAAAGACGTATATTAGACGTCTAGTCTAAATTTATACTTCATTTCAACGACTAGATTCAGTCTATTTCTAGACGTGATTTATACTTCGCCCGCCACTTCATTTTTCGATAACTTTTAATGCAATAAACCACTGTAATGTGCATAACTGACCTTTTAATACTGGATTACATTACTTATGATACCGTGGAGAGATATGCAGCATAGTATAGATGTAGACGTCATTTACACGTATAGGTTTATACTTCATTTCAGCGTATAGATTCAGTCTATTTCTAGACGTGATTTATACTTCGCTCTCAACTTCATTTTTCGATAACTTTTATTGCAATAAACCACTGTCATGTGCATAACTGACCTTTTAATACTGGATTACATTACTTATGATACCGTGGAGAGATATGCAGCATAGTATAGATGTATACGTCATTTACACGTATAAATTTATACTTCATTTCTATGGGGTGCTGTTTGTAAAGCAGCCCATTATAAAAACAACAGCAAGATTTGGTCACATTTAGCAAAACAACAGCAAGATTTAGTCACATTTAGCTTCAAACAGCATTTAAAAAAGTGATGTGAATTTTCGGCAGCCATTTTTTGGCGCATTTACAACAACATTTAAATACTAAAACTAAATGTTAAATGTTAAATCTAAATGCTAAATATAAATCTTAAATATATATGTTTAATCTAAATGTTAAATATAAATCTAAATGTTAAAAATAAATCTAAATGTTAAATCTAAATGTTAAATCTAAACGTGTTGGGCGAAACTAAATATTTAGCTAATATGCAAATTCACGGTCGGAAACCGGAAGTGCCAAAATAAAAGCTCCAGAAGGTCATATTGATGATTCTTGTGTCGAAGAAAACGAATTAAAACCAATTTAAGGGGGGGACAAATACTTGGGGTGACGTTTCGTGTTACACTTACACTTACACTTAAGTGTAAGTTGTGCATTGTGCTGTGAGCTATCGCAGCAAGTACAACCTGAAGATATAATATCTCAAAAGGTGTGAAGATCTTCAGCGAGGAATGGATGTCCAGTGCACAGACCAGGTAGTTTTTTTTTCATACTGCTTGTTTTTTTTCCTTAATTTTTCTTGAAACTGTTGTTGTCACTCTTAAAATGAGTGAATATGAAAATGAAAACCCAGTAATGTTAATAACAGTGGCTGTTACAAAGATAGGGATTCAAGGCTGTTGTAAGGATAATTAGACTGAAAACAAACCCTGCTAAACTCTAGTGCACAGTATTTTGCTGTGCTTTATTTTGACCTTTTAGACCAGTTTAGCATTTCTATTGATTGTAAGTTGTGCATTGTGCTGTGAGCTATCGCAGCAAGTACAACCTGAAGATATAAAAAGATCCCAAAAGGTGTGAAGATCTTCAACGAGGAATGGATGCCCAGTGCACGGACCAGGTTGATTTTTTTCATACTGCTTGTTTTTTTCCTTAATTTTTCTTGAAACTGTTGTTTTCACTCTTAAAATGAGTGAATAAGAAAATTAAAACCCAGTAATGTTAATAACAGTGGCTGTTACAAAGATAAGGATTCAAGGCTGTTGTAAGGATAATTAGACTGAAAACAAACCCTGCTAAACTCTAGTGCACAGTATTTTGCTGTGCTTTATTTTGACACTCTTGAAATGAATGACATCAAAAATGAAAACCCAGTAATGTTAATGATGGAAACAGGAGCATCAGTGGCTGTTACAAAGATAGGGATTCAAGGCTGTTGTAAGGATAAATAGACTGAAAACAAACCCTGCTAAACTCTAGTGCACAGTATTTTGCTGTGCTTTATTTTGCCCTTTTAGACCAGTTTAGCATTTCTATTGATTGTAAGTTGTGCAAAAGGATGTGAGCTAAGTCAGCAAGTACAACCTGAAGATATAAGAAGAATGATGTGGCAATCGGCATCAGCGTGGTGACACCAGAAAGACATGGAAGAAGCAGGGTGAAGATGTCTGCGCTACACCTGGACCAGTACCCAGGTAGAAGAAAACCTCATAACAGGGTCTGTTTTTCTCTTCTTTTTACATTTGACTTAAATTGATCACACTCCAAAAAAACCCTAATGATAAAATGTTTGTTTTAGTCTGGAGTGACATGAAAACGAAAAACCAGTAATGTTAACTTTGATGCAGTGGCAGTAACAGCTGTCAAAACTGTAAGGATAACTATGCTGAAAATGAACCCAGCTAAACTTGTCAAGTGCACAGTTTTCGACTGTGCTTTATTGATATGTCCAGTTAAACTCCTATTCTTTCATAGTATCAGGATCATGCTAATGTTAAAACTGCAAAAACCTCATGAATTAAGACCAACAGATCCAGAGGAACTACAAGAAGGACAACGAGAACTTCAAGAACACCGTGACAACATTGACATGGATTCTGCTGCAAGGTTGGTCATCTTTCTGAGGGTAGGTGATCACCTTATTTTTAGATGTGATCATCTTGATTTCAGACTCAGAGGTTTGAGGGGTGTTTTCCAAAACTTGATCTCAAATCCAGAAACACGGTTCAAAAGGTGCTTTCATGACTTGATTTCAAACCAAAAAAAAAGGGTTCAAAAGGTGCTTTCAAAGACTTGATTTCAAACAAAAGGATTTAAAAGGTGCTTTCAAAGACTTGTTCTCAAACAAAAAAGGTTCAAAAGGTGCTTTCAAAGACTTGTTCTCAAACAAAAGGATTTAAAAGGTGCTTTCAAAAACTTGTTCTTAAACTCAGAAACATGGTTCAGAAGGTGCTTTCCAAGGTATGATTTCAAAACAAAAAAAATATTCTAAAAAGGTGCTTTTCAAAAACTTGATCTCAGACCAAAAAAGGCTTGAAAGGTGCTTTCAGAATCTTGATCTCAAACCAAATACAAGGTCCAAAAGGTGCTGTCGAAATCTTGATCTCAAACCACAAACAAGGTCCAAAAGGTGCTTTAAAAAACAAGGTTCCAAAAAGGTGCTTTAAAAGATGTGCTCTCAAACCCAGAAACATGGTTCCAAAGGTGCTTTCAAAGACTTGTTCTCAAACAATAAAAGGTTCAAAAGGTTATTTCAAAGACTTGTTCTCAAACCCAGAAACATGGTTCAGAAGGTGCTGTCCAAGGTATGATTTCAAACAAAAAAATAATTCTAAAAAGGTGCTTTTCAAAAACTTGATCTAAAACCAAAAAAAGGTTTGAAAGGTGCTTTAAAAATCTTGATCTCCAACCAAAAACCAAAAAACAAGGTTCCAAAGGTGCTTTCAAAAACTTGATCTCAAACCAAATTCAAGGTTCTTAAAGGTGCTTTAAAAGACTTGATCTCAAACCCAGAAACAAGGTTCTAAAGGTGCTTTCAAAGACTTGTTCTCAAAAAAAGGCCTCAAAAAAGGTGCTTTCAAAAGACTTGTACTCAAACAAAAAAAGGGCTCAAAAGTTGCTTTTCAAGGATTGATTGCAAACAAACAAAAAGGTTTGAAAGGTGCTTTCAAAGATTTAATTTAAAAAAATAAAAAATTTAAGATGTTTTCAAAGCCTTAGTCTTGAACCAAAAAAGCTTCAAAGGGTGCTTTAAAATACTTTACCTCAAACCCCAAAAAAGTTCTAAAAGGTGCTTCCAAGGACTTGATCTTAAACCCAAAATACAAGGTTTAAAAGGTGCTTAAAAAAACTGTTTCTTAAAACAAGCAAAGACGGTATGTTAAAAGTCTGCTCTCAAAAGGTCTGTCAGCAAAATCACTATCAACTAAAACTAAGTTTCAAAACCACCAACATCGCAACAACCGTCAAAGTGCTTCCAAAGGATCCAATGGAAACAACAACAAGACAGCAACGTTTGCACATTGTTTCTATCAGATGTAACTGTCAACACTAAACAGAACGAGGACAATAAACAAACTGTGAAGATCCTCCAACTGTTTTTGTTAAAACTGTAGTTTTTCTTATTTTTATTTCTTTGTATTTTTGTGAACCTTTGAATCTCTGAAATGGAATCCTTGAACTGTGCTTGTCATGATCTGCATGTGTTGTACTTTTTTTTTTTTTTTAAACTTATTTATTTTCTGTATGTTTGGCCATTTTTCTTTGGGTGCATATGTATGTCTGCTTTCCTCCGAACATAAGCAGGTCTGACGAGGTGACCACTCTTTTCCTGGAGGAACTGTTGCTGCAGAAACTCAAAGTGCCGCCTTCCTGTTCCGTCTGGGAAATCCAAGGGTGGTCATCTTGTTGAAGGTAAGATGAACTTTTCATTGTGGTAACGTTATGTTTTCCCCAAAGTAACCACAAGAAAGCATTTAAGAAACCAGGTCCTGCATTCTGATAACTTCACCCATATTCAGTTTAAAACAGATTTTCTAATGCTGCACCTCACCATCACTGTTTTTAAGTCGAGTATTTTCTGCATTTGTATGTGTGTCTCTCTCCTTTTCCCCAACCATCACAGAAGTGAGCATCTTCAGTGTTGAAGCTGGCAACCACCAATGTCTTCAGGAAGGATCTAGATCACCTCTAAGAGAGTCAGGCATCTTTGTGCTGCAGGTAAGATGTGACGGGAAACACCACTTAACACACTGTCCTATTGTCACCCAGATGTCTGAATGCTTCAACTCCAGAAACAACTTTTCTCTGGTTATTAAGTCGTTTTCACAAAGGCGCAATGCAACGTGGGTGTGCCTCAGCTGTTCTACCAAAGTTAAGGCCCACCTAAGCTCGAGCTATGCCTGTTTTTATGTTGATAACATGTAAGGCTGGGTCAGTGTTTCCAATGTCGTGACTATAACCTCTCTTCGAAAACCAGTAGGTGATGCAACAGCTGTGTATTTTGTGAGTACTTTGTTGTTTGCAGGTGACTCAAGGATGTGGATGCAGGAGAATATTAGCTCTTAAGTGACGCTGCAGCCTTTTCTGATGTTTAACTGTACAGATTTGTGTGTTTCTGTCTGTAACAATCATACTCATTTTCTGTGCCTGTAAAGACATAGTTTTATATGTTATTTTTCAGAAACAAGTCCTGATGTCCTCTAGAAAAGAGCCCAGCTGGAGAAGTGTATCCAACGTCCCAGTCAAACGATAAAAACATTTCAGCCATAAGGTGGGTTATTTTATCAAAAAGGTAGGTGAATGTCTCTATTGAAACACAACAGCTGAAACAGTCATAATACTCTGATGCAAAGATGCAACACCACAAGGTTCAACGATCAAAAACACAACAATCAAACCAAAAACAAGGTTTAAAAAGTGTTTTCAGCCACACAACCACAAACCAACAAGGTTCACAACGATGCGTTCAAAGACAATACGGAAACAGACAACAAGGTTCATGAGGTGCTTTCAGGGACATGATGGTAACACAAACAAGGTTTGAATGGTGCTTTAAATGACACAACAAAAAGGTTTAAATGGTGCTTTCAATGACAAAAGGACGAATCAACAAGGTTTAAATGGTGCTCACAGGGACACAATGATAATACAAGGTTTAAATGGTGCTTTCAATGACAAAAGGGAAAACCACCAACAAGGTACAAAAGGTGGTTTTAACTCAAAAGTTTAACGACAACAGTCAATAAATCAAGAAATGCTAAAAACACTAAATAAAAACCAAACCAAAAAAGAAAATTCACAACCAACCGGAGAATGGTTCAGCATCACTCAAGGTTAAAAGGGTTTTATGACTTTAAAAAGGTTATTTCTGTTTTCATGAAACTTGGTTGGCATGAAAATGTCAAAAAAAATGTCAGTTGCAAGTTTTACCAAATACTTGCTGAGCCCACCACTAAAACAACAAAATCCAAAAAGCAAAACAACAACTCTTAAGGAAACAACAAATCGGCAAAGTTCACTCAGTTCTCCAAAAGGAAACCAACTCAACAAGGACAACCTCAACATCAACTACAACTTCAGGCCTCACCAACGTCTCCTCTACAGCTTCAACTAAAATGAGGGGGACAATGAACTGTAACCATAAAATGTTTTTTTGTTTTGTTTCTTTTTGACCCTCCAGTCTCTGTAAAAATCTGAGTTGTTTGTTTTCTTTGTGTTTTTTCTTCTTCTTTTTGTTTTGTTTCTTTTCGACCCTCCAGTCTCTGTGAAAATCTGAGCTCTGTACTTGTCATGGTTTTTTGTGTCCTGTTTTTATGCCTCCCTTTGGCTGCATATGTATGTCTCTGCTTTTCCCCTAAACATGACGGAGGTGTCGAGCCGTGGCGTTGGATGTGCTGACCACCACCAGGTCCTGGGAGGATCTGATGCTGCCCCACTTCGATGAGCTGCTCCTCCATCCAGACTGGGAAGTTTTTAAGAGTCACCGTCAAGCTGAAGGTTTCTGAAGTTCTCTTTTAATGATTTTGAGAAACTTTTTAAAGTTCTTGTAGTTGTTTTCACCGAGGTCCAAACACTCCAGCTTTTCTGGGGGTTTGTAGACGCCCAAGAGAAAATTGATTTTAAATCTTTCTGTTGAATCTTTTAAGTCTGTTTCCAATGTAGTGACCCATCTTTCTGCTTCTCCAAAATCTATCTTGTGTTGTTACAGTCTACATCCAAGAAGACCCTGGCAGACCCCATCACCTGCTGGACTCTGAGCTCCTGCATACTGGGTTACAGGTGAGCATAGAGTACAGATTCCACCACCTACAAAAAAAAACCTGGTACAGCAGTTTTATCTGAAACATCCATATTTCCTAACCCCTGCCAATTTTAATCTCTTCCAAACACCAGTGCTTTGCCCACTTTGAGGGACGGATCTTCTTCATTCTGGACCCCTTTAACTGAAGTCTGCACCAGCACAGAAACCTGCTTCTGGACACCATCAGACTCTACCAGATGCCGTGGGCACCATCCCTGAGAAACCGGTACATAAAACAGAGATAATGATTCACTTGTAGGTTAAAAACTGTGCTGGTCTAAAGAATAAATTTGTCCTTTTGTTTTAGGACTACACCGAGACGTCGATGACCCCCTCTTGCTCCAGGACCCGGCTGAAGAATGAAGACAAAAGACTTGGTCCCCTGATTGGAGGTAAGTAAATCTTTGCGAGTGGTTTTGCTTGTTTCAGTCAAAGTTTTATGGTGATAAATTGATGTTAACAGTCCACTAACTGGATCTGATCCCTGTCTGCCTTCTGTAGTCACCACCCTGCAGGCGGACTTCCTGTCTCACTGTGAGCCCGTAGACCTTCAACCTCGTCCAGAAAACCCTTACTCAGGACATGGTGAGTGCGCCTTTCTCTTTCAGGCTCTACTTTGAGGAGCACACATGAGCAGCTTTCTTAAATCCTAACAGATGAGTCCGTTAAGATGATGATAGTTGGATGTTTTTACTCGATGGGCACAGATAAACCTCCACAACCCATGAAGAGTGCAAGCTTTGCTATGTCACTGTCACTTTATATCACTGACATTATCAGTATTATTGACATTATAGGATATAGGAGACCTTTTCTGACTGATAGAAAACTAAATGAAAACGAGGCAGGATATTCACTCATGACAGTTTTCTTCATTTACAGGAGGATACTCGAGTCTCGACTGAGGACCCAGTGATGAAGATGGATGACCTGTCTGTGACACAAGGGTCATAGAGGATAGTTTTGTACTGATGAATCTATTATAAATTATTCATCTGTTTGACCAGATGATGTGTTGTTAAACTTGCTAACATTTGAGTTTCTTTGGTGCAAACCTGTAAGATCTACAGCTAGTAGAGTCTTCTTACAATTGTAACCAGGTGGTTTTTGTGTTGTACTGAATTTGATTTCTCATTATATTTGTAAAACTAAATATTTAATCTGAGCTTCATTTATGGCTTAAACTTTGTTAAATGGAGGCTGAGACTGTGACAACATGTTGAGAGCTTTTTGTCCACTGGGTTTTTTTTTCCTTCAATATTTTTCCCCAGCTGGTTTTTCATCTCTACCTCCACCAAACTCACTCTGTACACAAAGCTTGTCTTACATGTCACCTTTTTGGATGCACATATTCTATTTTGCTCATATTGCTTTGTCTTTATTTTGTTCATTTTTCTGTCATGCTTTATTCCTCTCTCTGCTCCATGTTTTTTTGCATTTGTATTACACATATAACTAACTTTTCACATATTTTGTCTGAGTCAATAACTCTCTGACAGTGAAATACCGTGATTGTGTTTGGTAAAACTTGTCAACTTGACTCTGTTTTTAAATAAAGTTTTGTTTAAATGGAATCAAAAACTTTTCTCTGGAGGTCAGTTTTTTATTTTGATAACATGCACAGTAGGTTAGAAAGTTTTTAAAATCAGACGTGAACACTTTTAAAATCAGTTCTCTGGCAAAATTGAGACGAGCCTTAATGTTCTTTTGTTCAGCAGTGGTTTCCGTCTTGTGACTCTGTCATGCAGGCTGCTTTTGCCCAGAGTCTCTTATGGTGGAGTCATGAACACTGACTTTAACTGAGGAAAGTGAGGTCTGCAGGGGTCCGTTTCACGTCGCAGGTTTAATGGAAACTCAGAGTCTGTTAACCCTGAAATCAGGGAAACTCTAGAGTTTTCCGTTTCACAAAGGAGGGTCAGTTAAACCAGGGAGAGAGGGGTAACTCTAACCTGTTTCACAAAGAGAGGTAACTCAACCTCGCGGTCAGTTACCATAGTAAAAGACTCCGTTAACCTAACCTGCTCGGGACCAGGTTTTACTGAGTAAACCCAGAGTTTCAGGTGAGACATCTGCATTTTCTCATTTTTATCATGTTTTACATTGTCAAGTAAGTATTAAGTGGCAGTTTGATCCCTTAAAAAATGCTCTTTTCACACTCAAAAATGAATTTTACTCTCTTATGATGTTCCGTTAAATGATTAGGAATATAACACAAAAATGGGTGACTGACTCAAATCAGGTGTTGTGAAACCGGAAACTCAGAGTTTCCTATCTCAGAGTAGATCAACTCAGAGTTAAGGATTTGACTCAGAGTTTGTTGAACCACCTACATGAAACGGACCCCAGGTCTAAATGTGAGCTGTATTGTCTTTTTGACCTCAGCAGGAATATTTTTCATACTTTTCTATTACACATACAAAAAAAAAGAGACTGTGGCTCTGACTTGTTTAAAAATCGGTCTTAGTTTAGTAGCATGCCTGGAACAGTATAGTTACTGCTGACATTTAGTGTGTGCAACTGGGCTGCTTGTTATTTATGAATTCATTCAACAGAAACAAAATGATGAGGAGAGTTTGTCAGAAAAATGATGATGGCAATGATCATTTTGATAAGGATGATGATGATAGTGGCAACAGTGATGATGATGATGATGATGACCAGGACATGCTGGAGAGACTTTGTCTCTCAGCTGGCCTTGGAACGCCTTGGGGGGCCCCGGGGAAGAACTGGACAAAGAGAGAAGACTGGGCTTCCTTTTTTAGTCTGCTGGCCAAACAAGCCGACTCCAGATAAGCAGTAAAAGATGGATGGTTGGATGGATGGATGGCAACATGGCAATGGTTGAAAAATAATCATCATTACAGATTTAGTTCAAACAGTTGAGAATATGTCTAAAAAGCAGGCAGCATACTGTCTTGCTGATGATCTCATGAGAGGTATTTTCATTTTTTCCAAACTACAGTTCAACAAATCACAGCAGAAAATCCAAGGTGTAAATTTGATACAATTACTAATGGCCAAATTCAGCCCAGCTGCTGTGTTGGCTTTCAGAGCTGCTTGATACTGAGAAGACGCTGAAGGTGTGAGTAATTTAATTTGGGAAATATGTCTCTGCCTTTAGTCTCTGCTCCAGGTTGTTACATATATACAAACATGAAGTGACAGAACAAAAACAACAGGAAAACAGATACTTCTTGTTGGCATGATGATCATTTTCCATGCTCAGGTTTCAAAGAAGTACTCAGTGAGGTTGCACTGTTTAAAGGGATTGTTGTATGTGTTATGAGGTTAAATGAGTCAGTAGAAAGTGTATTACCCTTAGTTTGGACCCTATCTAAACAAACTCTGCGTCTGAACTGTTGAAAACTAGCTGGAGAACTAGAAACATCTGCTGCAGATGAGCTCAACTGTCCAGGATAATTTAGCTCATTTTAAGAAATACTGTCTCAATTTTTTTTTTTCCTCTGCACATTCAATGTTCTTCCATCTACAGTAAACTGACCAGCTAATTATGTCTTCAATATATCAGTCAGCTTGGTTTTTACCTTGCACATTGATGTGAATTTTATTTTGCACCTCAGTTTGACATCGTAGTTTGTCATATTGGCTCAGGCTTTTTCAGTGTTTTTGGTGGGGTTAATGTAAAATGCACAAAATGTTCTTCATTTTAATATTACCCACAATCATAAGTGAATTAAAATGCAGCAAGAAATGTGTCTTTGCAATCATCCAAAGATGTGTTTCTTGACCCCTGATTTGGAAAGTAGTTGATTTTTCCAACCACAAGATGGCAGCAAAGTGATATGATTGGTTTTCTCCCTTAGAGCAGGGGGGAGATTTAACAGGGAAATAAATTGTAACCTCATCCTCGGAGCCTTTGAGGAGTCTGGTTAAATTGCTGCATAAAACCACCCTCATTGGCTCCCCCTCTCTCTCCCCCCTCTCTCTTTCTGTCTCTCTGTCTTGAGGGGAGGAATTGTAACGACTGCTCCCTATTAACCAGAGTCTGTGAGAGAGATGTGTTGAAGCGGGGCCAGCTCAGCGCTCAATCTGAAGAATGTGTTGGCATATACAAGGGGCGCCACTCAAATGGAACTTTAATTCATTTACACAAAAACCAGAACAATCGTAAAAGCAGACCTTGCTGCCGAGAGCTAACAGCTTAGGTAGTAAAAGCTGGAACACAACTTCCTTTAACCTGAGAATGAGCCCTTTATAGGCCTTTTCTTACAATGTCTTCTGCACATTAAACTTGAGGATAGTATTTTCTCCAGTGGGGTGTGAGTGTGTGTGCGCTGATATGTAAGGTGGTGGATGTGTGTCTGATGGCAGAGGTGGGCTGTGAATAAGTCTTTGATGTTGTCTGCCAACTTTCCCCTGTGGACAGCAGCTGTTATGATAAACACACTGTCTAGTAGCAACAGATCCTCCCAAGATGGTCGCCCACCCCTCCTCACCTCTCCTCTCCCACTTTCCCTCTCTTTTCTCCCAAGGCTGTGTTTAATGGAAGGGAAATGAAAACAATAGCTCTGCCAGTCTGCAGGCCAGCAGCAGCTCTGCCAACCTGACAGAAAGTCAGAGAGACAGAGACAGGGAGAGAAAGACTGAAATGTACCAAACACGGTCCAGACAGAGTTTTCTTTTTCTTTTGAAAGATGTTTTTTCTCCGGGGGCGGACCGGGGAGATTGATTGAGCATGACCATCTACATTATCTATCAAGCCAAGCCAGCTCAGAGAACAGAGAGCTGAGTTCGTACGGGTGTTTAACATGCTGAATGTGCTGCTGATGGAAACCAACTTTTATCTTTTAAAGGGGCTGCTTCTTACAATATGTGAGCCAACTTTTCACCCAGAGTGATGGCAAAGGTCACAGGACTCAGAGGAAATGATTAAATTTCCATTAGCTGCTGTATTTTTGAGCAGTTTTCCACTTTAAAAATTGAATATCATTTCCTCACACTCTATGAGCTTTGACCACAACATGATACAAAGGAAAACCAGTTTGTGCTGATCCTCACAAAACATTTTGATCCAGTGATGGGATTTCACTCAGACAGAGCAGAGAAGACTGTCCTCCAGAAAGTCTGGGATATTAAATTTCTGCTGTGGAAATGCATCAAATATCACTTCATTGTACTCCCAAAAATGGAATAGCTCATAGTGCATGAACCAATATCTTATTTCTTACAATGTTCATACCTTATTGACTGCCGGGACAAGTTACTCACACCTGCTTTTGGTTAACTGGCAGAAATGCAGTGGGTACAGCATCTCTCAACAATTATATGATCAAAGCCGTCATTAACTCCAGGAGCTACGTTTTCTTCTTCAGGAGACGGTCTACAGACATCATGGATGTTGTGTTTTCATCACTGTCCTTCTTTAGCTCTCCCGATTTTCTGTTAGTTTTGAGCACTTTGTCATGTGACAATGAAGCACAATAATAAGGGGTGACTGGAGGCCAATGCTAACAATCTAAAATCAGCTTTAGATGTTTAACAAGTTCAAGAGTAAGTGGCTGAAAACACAGCAGAGATCTGTAAGTTCGACTTACGTTAGCGCTCACTCACTCTAGAGTTTACCACCGCTTGGATCTCAGCTGTTATCAGGTAATCTTACCGGACGAAGTTCTTTATCTTTTTGCCGTGTTCACTAGTTGTAATACTTTTGAAGTTTGTGAAAATTACATGAAGAAAACCAACTTTTGCTGGTGAGATAGCCTGATTTTTAAGCAGAGGTCCAAGTTCCACCCAACCAACTGCACATGCCCTTACTGAGGTCTTTCTCATGTCTCATCATTAGTTTGAACAAAACAGAAATAAACTTGCCATTAACACCAGCAGGGAGCAGCCATCTAAGATTTCAAGCTTGACTAAAGTTACCATGAGATTTTGAGTAAGAATT